AATAATCTATATTAAGCATATATTATAATATAAATCTAATTTATAATAAAGAATCAATTAAAATATCTTAATAAAAAATTAATTAAATTCCTAATAATCATTATTCTTTATCAAATACTACCATTATGTAAGAGAAATATCATTATTATAGATAAATGTTGAGTTTCTCATGATAATAATACTATGCTCATCTAACTGGTCTTTTGTATTAATATATTAACAAATAGCTAAATAATATATAACATGTCACAACAGTGACAATATATATATTTCTCAAAAATTTATAATTGGCTAAAATATATTTATCAGAATAAATAAATAAATATAAAAAATAAAAAATAAATAAATAAAAAATAAATAAATATTATAATTAATAATATATGATATAATTAAAAAGATATTTTAAGTTTTTTTGTATAATTTTGTAAAAGATTACAAATTATGAAATTAATAATTTTTATAATATAATTATAATAATATATTTTTTTTAAATATTCAAAAATATTTATAATATTTATAATTTGTCTTTCAAATTTTAACAAAGCAAAATATAATTTCATCCAAAAAGAATTACTTTTTTTAAAATATATAATTAATAAAAATAAAATTTTTTCCAATTATTAATAATACAAAAAGTATTAATATTTCTTAATTTTATATAATAAAAGAACTCAAATCTTTTTTTAATTGGCTAAATATTATTAAAAATTTATCAAAAACCTTTTATAAATCAATATCTTATTTAAATTATTATATAATAAGATTATTTTTATTTGAACTATTAATTAAAAAAAAGTATTTAATAAACTTAAGAAATTATTTATAATAATATTTATTTTAATTTAATTAGATTATATAAAAAAATTTTGTTTAGTATTCTAAAAAAAGTCTGATTCAATTCAAGTCTAATTCAATTTGAGCTTAAATTAGATTCAAATTTAATCAAAAACTTGATTTAAGTTTAGTTTGAATTTTAAATCAGACTTAAATTTGATCAAAAGTTTAATTTAAATTTAAATAAATATTTAATAAGATTCTATATAAAATTATAAATTATAATTAAAGTTATAATTGATATAAAATAATTTTTATAATTTTAATTTACTTTACAATTAAATTTCTCTATAATCACATTTATTTATAGTTATTTCTCTCTATAATCATTTTATTTTGCTTTTCTATTTATATATAAACATAGTAAAAAACTTCTCTATAGTCACATTCTTTCTATAATCATCAAATTTTGCTTTTTCAAGGATGATAACTATAGAGAGATTTGATTGTAATTATTTTATAATTATAAACTATAATTCTAAGCAAAATTATAACTAAAAAAAAGTTATAAATTGATATAAAATATATAATTACTATTAATAATAAATATTTAAGAAATTATATAACATTTATAATAAAATTTAATAAATATAAAAATGAAAATACTTTAGTTATTACTATATAAACTATTAGTTCTTATTAAATAATATAAATTATATTTTATATTTAGAGCTACAAATAGATATAATTAAATTTTTCTATAATTATATTTATTTATAATTATATCTTTTTATATTTATCTTTCTATTTATATATATAAATATAATAAAAAAACTTATTTTATAGTTATATTTTTCTATAATTATCAAATTTTGCTTTCTTAAGAGTAATAATTATAAAAAAATTTGATTATATATAATATTATATATTAATTTTAAATTAAACTCAAACCAAACTCAAACTTATATAATAATTTAATTCAAGTTTAATTTGAACTTTGAATTTTCTTGAATTTAATTCAAAGTCTAATTCAAGTTCAGTTCAAATTTTAAATCAAATTCAAAATTTAGTTTATAGAAATACTAATTTTATTTTTATATTAATACTTTTAACTCTAAACTTGATAATATATTCTTACAAAAAATGATAATTATTATTATATAATAAAATTTTATTAAATATTTTACAAGATAATTTTATAATTAACTTATAAATATCTTATATTTTATTAGAAGAATTAAATTATGAAAAATGAGTGAATAAACAAGTAAACAAATAAATAAATAAACAAATAAATAAATAAATAAACAAATAAATAAGTAAACAAATAAATAAATAAATAAATAAATAAGTAAATATTAAATTAATAAAATTAAAAATAATTAACAAATATGAATTTATATATTAACTAAGTTATAATTTGAACATATATAAAAATAATATGTATTATAATTATTAGAATTAAATTAAAACAAGTTTTTAATAGTAATAGTTTCTAATTATTATCTTATAGTTAATTATTTTCTACTTTTAATTATTCAAAAAAGTTCAATTTATATATTATAGAATAGATAATCAAGTATAACTTTTCTCTATATTTTTTTGATAAAGTATATTTTTGTTTTTTGTATAATTATTTCAATATATTTGTTATAAATATTATATAATTCTTAAATAAAATATTAGTTATTCAAGTATATTTGTCACATATACTATTAATAATTCAGATTAAAGTACTTTTCAAAGTTCTAGACTTTGAATAATTATATAAGTTCTAAAATGTTCTAAATGTTCTAAATTCTAATGTAGAAATTTTTTTGCAGATTATTTGGTGCTAAATACTTTAGCCTGAATCACTATATACTATATTATTTAATAATTTAGTTTCTAGATTCCTTAATATATATTTGTAATAAAGTTTATTAAATTATTATTCAATAAAGAAATTATTAGTATAATTTATAAATATATTTTTAAGTTATATTTGTTATAATACAAATATTATAATCTTTTGACTTCAAGATTTTGAAAATACTTTTTAGTTGTTTAGTATTGTTATAATATAAATATTTAGTTCTTATTTTGTTGGTTAATTCATATCATAAATTTAATTGAATAATATTTTATTGGTTAATTTTATATTATTATAATTTGATATTTTACAAAAATAATTATTATAAATGAATACTGCAAGCAATCCTTTCAAATAATCATTTGAAGTGCTCTGAATAATCATTTCAAACAATCATTTCAAATACTTTAAATGATTATTTCAAATAATCACTTCTTATTTATTAATTATTTATAAATATTACATATATATCTTAGCTAATAAAAAAAAATAAATTTTATAGTTCTTAGAATCTCAAGGATAATAAATAACAATTAAAAACATGTAATAAATCAATAACAAATTCATCTATTAATAAAATTATTATTATATTATGATCTTATAATAAAAACTACACATAACATTTCTTAATAAATACTCACAACATAAATCCCAGGTCTCATTCTAGCAAACCATGTTATGAACACACTGTTATCATCATTCTAAACTTGTTATAATCATGATATAATGCTTGAAGCATTGATTACACCATTTATACTCTCCCACCTGTTATTATTATCATGAAAGAAACTTTATTTTTTTATTCAATACTCTATATATAATATAAATAAATTAATGTGGACGATTATATTTCATATGATCAACAAAATTTTCAAACTCAAGATATTGGTCAAATAGGATCCCACAAAAATGTCTCAGGCTATTTTTACAGCTATTCTATATATACTCGCAATTCGTCCCGTTCCGAAAATCCCGCATAACTAATCTATTAATTTAGCAAATGCCATAGTGTTCTTTGAAAAATAGTCGGCAATAACACTAAATCCGTCTTCAGATTCCTCCAACTGTGCGAAAAAACAAAAATTAAATAAAATCCTAAAAACAAGTATAGTAATTATATATTTATATGAATATACCTGTTCGAAGAAGAGTTCGTGCTTGTCAGCATTTGCTTCTTGTGTGCGTCTAACCTCTTGTATCATGCGATGTTGAATTGCACATTGTGGGCATTCACGATCGGAATCAATTAGACACCTTGAAATAAAATGAATAAATCGATCAAAATCCATACAACACGATCTATGCCAATGACCTTAATTATAATAAATTACCTTTGATGATATGAATGCCGGCAAAGAAAGTGCACTGCCGGTAAATCAAGACTTGAATTACATCCGGTGCATTTAATGACTTGGAATATACGAGCACTATTATATAATTCAAACAATCAACAAAAAAACTTCAGTATATTAATTAAAAAAAGACATATCATATCAAATATAACATACGAAGTCTTCAGTTCTTCGATTTCTTTTCTCCTTTTCTCCGTTTCCTCGCGATAACTTGCTATCAATTTACGATCCGCTTCGCACTCTTTGCGTTCTCCTTCGATGCGTCGTCCCATATATCCTTTAACCATTTCTAGGGTGGCTACCGAATTACGACTTAACGCTTGAACAACTTGTAAGGGTGGAAGTAGATTATGTGAATCTATGTAATCTAGGATTTGTAAGAGTTCGGAAGTAGACGAGGCCAGAGTTGTTGGCGACGATGAAAAATAGGTCAAGGTCAATGGATATAATGACTGGTCGTGCGGCCTATTATTGTGAATAAATTAATGTTTTAATATTCAAATTAATGAATCAATGATTTTTTGATGGGAAACGATGCATACCCGTATTTCTTTAAAGCCTGTATCACTTTTTCAGTATTATCTTTAGCCATATAAAACCTCAAAATATCTTCGTACATTCTCAATTTTTCATAAAGATATACAATTCCCTCGTCAAATTGAGCCAAATGACAAAGTACAAGGGCTTGATTTGTATCGTACTGAATCTAGTAAATTTTGTAAACAAAAAAAAGCATTATGAATAAATTGTATCATAATCCATAAATCAATAAAGCAATTACTTACCTCCTCCTCCTTCAATAACTTTAATGCCTTATCCTTGCGCACCAATCGTTCCTTTACTCTTTCAGTTTCTGTAGCTACAGAAAAAGAACCAGGCGCTCCATTTTTTCTCCCTTTTGTATCTTTCATGTTCACCACGGGAGGAAGATATGCTTCAGACAAATACAATTCTAATAGTGTATTCCAGACAGCCTTTTTCTCTTCTGCTTCAATGTTATCCTGTCCTTCCTTTGAAGAATGCGACCCCTCATCATCATCTTTATTCTCGAATGATTCTACAGATCTACGCGAAACCCCAAATTCACCCCATCTTTTTTCCGAGACTTGTTCGAGAAATTGTATTAGATAATTTGGCTGATCGACAAATAATGACATGAAAATGCGCACTGATGGAGGTTTATACGCTGGGACGGTCTTTTCTTTGGATAAACGAGGAGGAGATGCTACTCGCAAAATGGGAGCTTCTGTTGGCACTGCGAATTGCAAGAATTGCGGATAAGAAGGAACTACAACAGTCGGAGACGATGTTTCTGCATCATTAGGCGGTTGAACAAAGAGGTTTCCCGTGCAAAGATCTATCAACAGCTTAGTTGTAGGTTGCGCGAGATGATTCAAAAGCACTTTGCCATATTTTTGCAAATTTCGATCTGCCTTAAAAATTCTTTGATGAATTAGAATCTTCTTTTGTTACAATGTATTGATTGATTGCGATCAATCCAAAATCCACTTAATATACCTCGAATGGTCCTAGTTTGCGAATATACTCTAAAGCATTTTCATAATCTTGTACGTCTTCAATTTGTATTTTTAAGTATCTAAAAGAACGCCGAAAGTCTCATTAGTGTTTCTCGACCAGTAGAGATGATATGCGATATAAACAACTCACAAGTCATGCTCTTCAAATTTTTTAGCTAAATACACGGCATGCTCGTAATAACCAGCTTGTCGACAGACTTTTATTGCAGTCTCGAGATCAAAAGTAAGCTCGTTGTCTGTCTATATAATAAAAAAAGATGACACGACTTTTGATTATTCATTTCATTATTAAAATTCGAGAAATCTTAACTAAAATTAATTACCTTTATAAATTGATCCAATCTCGCCACATCTTTTAATTTAGTATAACAATTAATTAGTAATGTTGTATGATCTGCGTTAGCAAGGCCATGCGCATGAAGCTCTTGAAGATAATTCACGAGATTATGAATTCGTTGCGCGTCCAGAAACTAAGAATTATATGATCTTAATCAATCAAAAGATTGAGCCGAAAAGCCATAAAATATGAACTTAAAAGTTTACCTTGCGAATAACATAAGATGGTTCAAGCTGACCTATTGTGCGAATATATTGAGCCATGGCGGCATCGTAATCCGCTTTAGAGCTTGAAAAGAATATGGGATGCCAATTAAATTGACAATTAATAAACGAGAGAGTGAGGAAGTCATAAAAATTAATTTCATCTACTTGTATAAGTGATCTCCGTATTTCTTAAATATTTCAGAAATACTAGCATCATCGTATTTTTGACTGTGAGCGAGATTGATAGCGAGTTGATATAAATTTTTCTTGAAAAGAAGTTCGAGTTTTGTCGGTGTGTCTTTTTCCTCTAGACGATAAAGCTTTAAAAGTATAAAACATACACATATAAAATCTATCAAACATTGATTCATTCGTTATCTGATTAATAAAACATAATTTTTAGAAACACACACCTTTCCATCCATCCCCAAGATATAAACGGCACCCCATTCACATGTTATTGTGCGAACTCCTTGTGAGAAATTACCAACATAAGCAATAAATTTGTTGACTGTGTCAAAAATAGTGACTTTGGTAAGCTCATACGTAGGCGATTTTGGAGTTGCAGGGGAAGTGGTATTATTTGCTCCAAGAGATAAAGCTGGACGCGTTGACACGGTGAGACGCGTCGGTTGTGAAGCCGGCGGTGAAACAATAATAAGATAGAATTTAAACCAGATAACGGATGTTTTTGTGCCTAAATTTTTGTTTTATTAATTATTATAATGTCCCTTATCAAAAACCTAATAGATTTGTCTTTGTACCTTCATATACAAAACAAGGACCACGTCCATCGGGCGTATAGAAATAAATCGCCTGCCCGATAAAATTAAGTATTAAATAAAAAACAAAGAATTTTTGCCTTATAAATAATATTTATAATTTCATACTTCATCTTTAGCTATAACCATATCATGTGTTGTATCGCTCATTATTGCGCAACCTAATCCACAACCTTGTTCATCAATAATGGACTTTATATAGGATAAGATAAAAAAATGTTAAAGCTATTCTAACAAAAAAATAAATAGATAAATAATAAAAATTCAATTTACCACAGGGGATCGTCCCGTAGTATTATATGTCATCACTTTATTAGTTGTCACAATAAAAAGAATAGTATTCCTGTTTTCCTCTCTAAATCCGAGGCCTTTTCAACCATACATAAAAAGTATGAATTATAATCTACCAATACTAGCAGCAATGATAATGATACCTGCCTGTTACCGGTTCCTCGTCTTCATGAATAATCTTTTGTTTTATATACCGATCCCTCGACAAATCACCTCTAATCAAAATAACTATACCATTTGCCAACCCAATTGCAATTTGACTCATATTTTCCAAAACAGCAAAAGTTGACACGGGAAACGGCTTTTTATTATGTTCTACTTTAATGATTCGTGAACATGTTGGCGCTCCTTTTGATTTGTCTTGTTTATCAAGATCCCATATTTTAATTATTGGTGTCGAAGCTACCGGTTCATCTTCCTATTATATAATAGGAATTGATAATAACGTGTTAGTAATAAAAAATAAGTAAATGAATTTCCTCAAGTGACATAGACAGCAAAGTTTTCTTACGCCAATAGTCACTAGAATGTTTCGTTGTTTAATTTGTTTCATATGTGTCACTCGTCCCCCATCGTACGCTAGAAACTGTTGCACATTAAAGTTTCTATCGATAATATACACATGGCCTGAAGAGTGTAATGAATTCAATTCGAAATCATAAAATTACACGTTAAAGACATATGCTCTTAATTTCATCAAAGAAAAATCAAATATTGAAAAGGATATCAGCTAAAATGATATTGCCACGTCCGCTAGTACTAACTGTCAAATTTGGTCTCTATGAAGATAAATGCTAAATAAGCTATTATCAAAGTAATGATTGTTGTTATCGAATATTATTATATCTGATATATAGTTACTTGGAATATCTGTGGAGGCTTAGTTGAGTCGTTCGGATCCTTTATTTGCTGAATATCAAAGAAATTGAACTGCCGCCTGAAGAGAAAATATACTGAAATGGTTAAGAGAAAAATAAACAGTATAAATTGTAAAAAATGTAAAAACCATAAGAATTTACCATTGTTTATAAGTCATTTTTTCGAAGTGAATGCAACGATTCAAAGGATATAGCAGTGTAATGGATGATCTTTAAACACCTGAAGAAATTCACGTGAAATGTACAGGCACGTGATTTAATGAACAAGTCTGGTCGTGATAGATCATTGACCAATGAGGTGGCGAAATTTTTGATATGGTGCATAAAATCTAAGGTCATCAAACGTTTGTATTTTATAAAATGTATAAACTTCTTTGCTAAGAAGTAAATACAAAATTTAATCCGTGAATATGCTCAGAAAAGGCCTATTCTATCATATCCACGGATTAAATTTTGTTATATATATAATTTTAGCTCTTAAAATTGTGTTTTTCAGCAAATATATCCAGTTATCATTTTTTTTGGAGATAATTCTAGGTAAGGAAATGCAACGAATTATATTGAAGAGGAGAATAAGTAACTATTCCAGCATCACCAACAAAAGTCACAGTCACATGAGTATAATATGATATAAATCAATAAGAACATTTGTTAGATAACAAACCAAAACAAATTTGACACAAGAAAATAAAAATTATGAAAAACATGTTAAAATCTGGCTTGAAGCACTAATAAAAAATATTAGAAAAAACAATTTTACATATAATTTTGTTTTTCACTTTAATTTTTACTTCAAATAATAAAATAATTTTTAATATTAATTTTCTATAATGAGCATGGATTTTTGTTAACAATACTAAAAAAAAATGAAGATAAATTTATTGATCATGTTTAATATTTTATTGATTGTTATTGATCCAAGAAAAAAAAAAAAGATAAATCTGCAAGTATTTTTTAGATTTTATTTTTGATATATATTAAATTGTTAATATATAATTATGAAAAATTAATATTAGAAATTAGTTTATTATTTAAATTAGAGTAAAAAACAAAATTATATGTAAAATTGTTTTTCTAACATTTTTTATTAGTATTTTAAGCAAGATTTTAATATTTGTTTTTAATATTTTTACATTTTTTATTTTTTTATATTAGATTTGTTTTGCTAAATTGATCAAAAATTTGTGTATTTTTATTAATTTGTATTATTCAATATAATATTATTATACTTTAAATATATAAGATGAGTGATAATTATTAAAAAGAAAAAAGAATTTCAAAAATCTCATTTTCACACGATTAAAAAAAAATTAATTAATTAAATATAATAAAATTTTACTTGAAAAGGAAAGAAAATTAGCTTTATGTTAATTTAATATTTATTACTTTTTTGATATTATTTATTTATTTATTTTTTATTTATATTTAAAATAAATTTGTTTGAAAGTTTTAAATTTTTAATATTTTTATTATATTATTAAATTATATTAAGTAAAATTCTTTTAATATAATTAGAAATATATTAAATATAATTAATAAATATTATTTTTTGGAATAAAATATAACAAATTATTATATAATTAATTTTATAATATCTTTAAAAACTCTAAAATAATGCAATTTAGAAATATTAAATATTTAGATATATAATTAAAATTAATTATTTAATATAAAATTATATAAGAAATATTTTTTATTAATATATTATTATTTTAATTTTTTTAATAGTATTTATATAGTAGAAGATTTTTAAAATGAATTTACTTTTACAATTATAAGAATAACTATAAATCAAATTAAATTTATAATTAAGAAAAATATATTGTTATA